GTCGGCAGTGCGGACTCCATGAGGTGCATTCAACTTCTCATGCTTAATATGTTTTATGGGATATCAATTTGGTGCTGTGGGATGCCCTCTCAATGGACGGCAGCTTAACTTATAATGCTAACAAGGGGATGACACGCTCGTAGGACTTCGCCGAAAGTAAAAACAAAATACTTATTGCCACAGTAGAAATGGCACTATCAGTCCGTCTCACCTTAAGATTAGCCTTTGAAGTGGCGCCCAATATTTTTTTTATTGCCCTATAGGCAGACGAGCATACATTCCAACTAATGGTAAGTGGTTACCGTCGCTCAAGGACATCAGCAATGCCAGGGACAGAGCCAAGCCGCTGCCTACCACTTAATTACTCTTTACATATTTGAAGCTTTACTTTTCACGATCGGTACATGGTCCTGGTCAAAATGAACTACCACTATATTTGCAGTTGCGGTGAAAGCCAGATTTGAAGTGGTCCAATCAACAGAATAGCACCCTTTTAAGATTTTTTTCATATTTTTGCTTCGCAAATTGTTGTATAATCTAAATTTAGTATTTAAATGTCATCTGATTTCATTCAGAGAGGACCAAAAACCCTGTTCATTCATTCACCCTGTTCATCGATTCATTACAAATCGGATCTGCATTTAAAATTCTCGTAGTTTCTTTTCTTTAATAAAATATCTGCGATCTCTGAGGTTTGCAATGATATACAATTTACTTAGATCTGGTTAAGCGTGACACGTTTCCGAATTGGCATGTCATTTATCTGGAATGCCATAAATGGGTCAGATGAAGTGGTAACTATTTGGGAATTCTGCCAGTATATGAGTCTGACATTGCCAAAACTCTACTCATACTTAATGTCGCCAAGTTTCGACAGTGAACTTTGGCCTTTGCATAAATGAAAAGAAGAACTTATTTTTCATGATTAAAAAACTTCTATTTATGAAATTAAATCGGGTATCTTGTAAGAAAACGGTTTTGGTATAATTCTTAAGGTTTTTTTAGAATTCTAAAGCAGTTTTTGTCGTAATTAAGTTGGTTTTTACAATTTTGGTACAGTCCAAAAAAATTTTTATTATTTTATCATATTAAACTGTTAAGTAATAGCAAACCAATAGGTTCAAGAACGTTGAAATTATCCCAAAAGTAATTTAATTCAAGTTTTGACTATTAGAAATTTGTTCCGAAAACTTCATCCCAACAAAACAAAATGAATACCGTAACAAATGTAGTTCATACTTTTTACTGCATCTACCCAATACCGTTTTTACCATAAGGGCACACGGGGCCCGTGCCCAGGGCCCCCATTCTCAGGAGGCCCCGAAGGACCGACAATTTCTCTCACACGCTTATTCTCAAAATACACTTTTTTCACAAATCAGTAATCAGAAGGTATTTACAAGGCATTATACTATGCCTATAATAGAAGATTTTGCTCAACAGACATTCCGAAAGAAACCGTTATCGAAATCGTAACCAAAAAACCAGCAGCATTCTAATATCAATAATGACATATTATATCATACTGTATTTGATTACGTATAATAAATGGTCATACTCAGTAAAAAAGTGTTATTATAATTCGCTTTTTTACTTTCCAAAAGGGCCTCAAATTCTTGTGTGCCCAAGGGCCCCATCCTAGTTTAAGACGTCCCTGCATCTACCGTCTGTACTCTGGTCTCAGACCTATTATTTTATATAAGTTATGTGTATAAAAATTCTTCTTATTTTAAACTCCCTAATAGGATTTGAGTAATGCATCTGATAACATTGTACAAGGTGACACCCTCGCTTTGTTCGTATAGGTTCAAGGTCGTACCACCCTGTGGGTGGGCGTTGCGTATTTACGAAATATGTACGTCGGGTTCATAAAATCGAGCTAATATAAATAAATTATTTCATTTACATTGGTAATTTCAGAATTGAAATTCAATTTGTATATTCTGCTCGTTTACATATTAGTGTAAGAAGATATTAGAAGTTTGAGTACGTAAGTAGATTTTTACGGGTGTTTAGTTCTTGTTCTTTCAATATCCAGGCTCTATCCAATCTGCTCCAAGACGATATTTGAGTTGTTCAGTTACATGGCCAGAAAGAGTGGTGACCGTCTTGAAATATTGATGGTAACTGGCAAGATTGCAGGCAAACTTATCTCGTGGCAGCAATCCAATGCGCTGGTCCTATCAAATCCGTACCACTCTGGATACCACAGTCTACAATGCGATACACACCACCGAGAAAAGAGGAAGATGGCGAAACATCATCCAGAAGAGGAGAACGGGAGGAGATGGTCACGACCCTCAGAGATGAGGAATGCGACTCAGGGAGGAGGAATTACGGCCTCGTGTCCAGTCTATTGCCTGATCCCATGTACATCGCGGCATTAATGTCCCGCCTATATTGAGGCATAAGATCGAAGCCTGAAGGTTTTCCATCCAAAAATATTTTTTTTTCTTATTGCTTAGATGGTTGAACGAGCTCATAGCCCACCTGGTGTTAAGTGGTTACTGGAGCCCATAGACATCCACAACGTAAATGGGCCACCTACCTCGAGATATAAGTTCTAAGACCTCAGTATAGTTACAACGGCTACCCCACCCTTCGAACCAAAACGCATTACTGCTTCACGGTAGAAATAGGCGGGGCGATGGTACCTACCCGTGCGGACTTACAAGAGGTCCTACCACCAGTAGAATACTATAACCCTACTCTGCATGTAGGGACGCAAGACGCGTAAGTTTCTTTGCGGCAGGAATAGTAGAGACGGTGATCCTACCCATACGGCCTTGTAATGACTTAACCAAATGTTGATAAGTTTTACGATTGCTTTAAATAATCGATAGAAAACATAATAAACAGCAAACAAAAACATTGAAATAAATCGGAGCCAACACAATATAATATTTTTAAAAAACTTTTTTACTGGTGGTAAAAAAGTTTACTCTTGTGAGTCCGCGCGAGTATCACCACCCTGCTTATTTCTGCCGTGAAGCAGTAATGCGTTTCGGTTTGAAGGGTGGGGCAGCCGTTGTAACCATACTGAGACCTTAGAACTTATATCTCAAGGTGGGTGGCGCGTTAACGTCGTAGATGTCTATAGGCTCCGGTAACCACTTAACACCAAGTGGGCTGTGAGCTCGTCCAACCCTCTAAGCAATAAAAAAACGCATTTTCAACAAAAAATCACAACATTATTATTCTACTACTACTATTTTATTATTTGAAACAGTTTGCAATTACTGTCAGTGATTTCATTAAAAGAAACAATATACGTATGAAACAAAAGAGAAAACTTTCCTTTGTCGAGCTTCGGAACTTTGTACAAAAATAATGCTTTGAGTAGACGGCGGACATTTTTGTCATTGTTTCTACTGCGCTTGTCATTGTTTCTACTGCGCTTTCATGAATTGTCTTATAAGATTCTTATTCATAATCAGTACATTTACATACAAATAACATCTTCAGTACTTTTTATCCTCTGTCCACCGATGTTCTTTCTATTTAGTAACTACTTAATGAACTTAAGTTGTTAGATAAACAAAATAGAAAATAATAATAAATAATATAATTAATATTAAAGGAGCACTATCTATCAATTTAGTATTATTTATATGTATTTATTTTATGTATTTCATTATATATGTACGTGTATGTATATGTTTATGTTATTTATGTGTGTAATTGTGTATGTATATAGTTTGATATATTATGTATTAGTGTTTATTTTTATTATTTTTATTGTTAATGTCTATAGCATAAATAATTAAATTAATTAGATTGTACTCATCTACCCACTCATGTAAAGCTTTCCTTCTTTGAGAACAGTTAGCTGGTAGATAACTCAACTGTTGAGTTAAGCTCGCCATTTTTTTAAATCTTATCGCAATTACTGTATTATATTAACAGTGTGTACAAATAAAGAATAAAGAATAAAATTAATAATGCCAAAAGAATTTAACTTTAACGAGGATGATTATTTAATTCACGATAACACCCTTTTAATTTAAGGGTCTCCTGAAAGCCGCATCAGGTAACCAAATTATCCTTTGTTAAAATAGGACAGACCTTTGAAATATTTAAACGAAAATTTACGGCTTTCATTACCTGAAGTAGCTCCTACTTCAGGTACTGTTTAATTAATAGAATTACAAGTCAACGAAAAGACGATTAGTCTTGATTCATAATTTAACTGGAATGGGATGGAATGAAATGGTGCTCTGTGTACATGTATTGAACGAAGTGAAAACGCCAGACACCAAATTCCGAGGCAGCTACATTTCTGAATTAAAAAAAAAGTGTCAAAATCACCTATCTTGGTGAAACTGAAGGCCTTCGGGCCACCAGTAATCCTTTCTTCCTAAAAAGTAATCATTACTGCATCAAATATACGCGGCATTACCCAAGTTATGTCATTTACTATAATAAAAAAGCATCTCATGTCTTATTCCAAACAGTTAACTAATTATTTGTATATGAAATTTCATCCAAATCCGTAAAGGCATTTTTGCATGATTGAGTTACAAATACCCAGTTGTGTGATCTTAATGTTGAGTATAACTGAAAAAGGATACAATTTGATCAAGAGTTTATAAGAAACTAGCTTTTGCTCGCGACTTCATCCGCGTGGAATAGTTACTTTGGCTAAATTTTGCTAACGCTACATTTTACTAACAACACCCCCCCCCCACCACCACCACCACCACTACCACTTCATTTACGTAGAAAGTGAAGATATTTTTGAAATATAGAATGTTAAGGAGCGTTTTAAACCCCTATTTTGAAACATTCTTTATTGATGCTCCGCTTGTATTGGTCTTACCATGATGCTATGTATATATAGAGGCCTATAGCCTTTCTCAATAAATGGGCTATGCAATGCTGAAACAATTTTTCAAATCGGACCAGTAGTTCCTGAGATTAGCGCGTTCAAACAAACAAACACTTTATAATATTAGTATAGATTTATTATTTTTTAATTGTATTTTTAATTAAAATTCCAGGATGCCTGCAGCAGTACCTCCTGCCGAAAATGGCGGGCCTCGCAGCGAGCTCGAGCAGCTGCAAATGCGAGCCGGTCAGGTTACCGATGAGGTAAGCGCTTTCGTAACGCAATATGTAACCTTACCATGTGGCGATGACCGATGTGCGATTTCGCGTTTTGCCCGAAATACGATCCCGCTCAGCTTATCGCTGGATCTTCTCGTGGGTCGTGATTTCGATCCAATGGTAGATGGAAGCACTGACCTACCTAGGGCTAGTGTTAGCAAGTCCCTTGACTGAGCCCCGTGAGTTCTCTCTCCTAAACGTTCGGTGAAGCTAGGTTAAGACCTCAAGGCTACTTGAAACACGAAACCTGAAAGCAATCACCAATTGATAATTTTAATCAACACTGGAAACGTTCAAATTTAGGACAACTAATTCACGTGCCTACTAACTGATTCATAGTAAATACATGCTAAGTTTTTTTTTCATTTATTTTAATAATAATAATTACGGCAAAACTAACATAACACAATCATATTTCGTGTAGCCATTAGAGTTTTTTTTATTTTTTATTGTTTAGATGGGTGGACGAGCTCACAGCCCACCTGGTGTTAAGTTGTTACTGGAACTCATAGACATTTACAACGAAAATGCGCCACCCGCCTTGAGATATAAGGGTGTCAAGTATAGTTACAACGGCTGCCCCACCCTTCAAACCGAAACGCATTACTGCTTCACGGCAGAAATAGGCAAAAAAACAGACAAATGACAGACGAAAAACTGTCACACATTTACCAATAGAGATTACCATGTGGTTGGATATTAAGCCAGCATCATCGAAACTTGAAGCTCTTGTGTCAGGGTTCACAGTGGCATGCACATTGGCTGTTTAGGAGCATCTTCCTTCTTTTTTAAAGTAAAAAAAATAAATCTAATAATTCTTAAAATAAATCACATTTTACTGGTGGCAGGACCTTTTGTGAGTCCGCGTGGGTGGGTACCACCACCCTGCCTATTTCTGCCGTGAAGCAGTAATGCGTTTCGGTTTGAAGGGTAGGGTAGCCGTTGTAACTATACTTGAGACCTTAAAACTTATATCTCAAGGTGGGTGGCGCATTTTCGTTGTGGATGTCTATGGGATCCAGAAACCACTTAACACCAGATGGGCTGTGAGCTCGCCCACCCATATAAGCAATAAATTAAAAAAAAGACGAAAAACTGTCACACATTTACCAATAGAGATTACCGTGTGGTTGGATATTATACCAGCCGTTGCATCATCGAAACTTGAAGCTCTTGTGTCAGGGTTCACAGTGGCATGCACATTGGCTGTTTAGGAGCATCTTCCTTCTTTTTTAAAGTCAGTTAAAATAAATCTTATACATTTACAAATTTCTCGTCTCTTAAAACTCGCCTACTAGAGTGTTTATCTCTCCGTATTAATTTTACAATTTGATGAATTCCAGTCGTTGGAGTCCACAAGGCGTATGATGCAACTATGTGAGGAGGTAAGCTTCCTGTTTTATTAATACATATTAATAATAAATTACAAATAATAGACTTAAGATGATTTCCCATAAGATCATGATTAAGACGTCAGAAAATTTTTAAACTAAACTTAACTTACTAGAATAATGGGAGATATTAATTCATACGAAGTTATGTCGAGAATACCTCCCAATTGTTACAAATTCCGTAATCAAATAAAGCTAATAAATAAATACTTACTTAATTATCTAAGATTCTTTATGAATATGATATAAAAACAATAACATTTTCTACTGTGATAATATTACCATTTGCATAGTTTTTATATCATTTTCGAATAATGTTTCAACTTGACCTTAAGTATCCACCCCCCCCCCTAGTTCAATGATTCGAAATGTTTTGAAGAGCAATTAGAAAATTCTTTTGTATAAATGAGCTGCGGTCTATAAATGTGTAGATGTGGTTAAGTTGAAGTTAATTTCCCCCGTAGTCTAATTAGTTATGTTGTGTTGTTATTTTGATTATATATGATTATTTGTGATCATCTGTGAGAGAGGTGTTCTCGATGCNAGTATCCCCTCCCCCCCTAGTTCAATGATTCGAAATGTTTTGAAGAGCAATTAGAAAATTCTTTTGTATAAATGAGCTGCGGTCTATAAATGTGTAGATGTGGTTAAGTTGAAGTTAATTTCCCCCGTAGTCTAATTAGTTATGTTGTGTTGTTATTTTGATTATATATGATTATTTGTGATCATCTGTGAGAGAGGTGTTCTCGATGCGAGGGAGTGAGGGGTATAGCGGAAGTGTCCTGGATAGCTCCAAGCTCGGTTTGGTCTCCGACGCCCGTCCCAACGACCCCCTAGGGCGCAGCCTCTGCTAATTCTGGCTGTTGTGTTTCGATGTGGCTATATATTTTTTATTTTGTTTTTTTTTTTAATTATCTTAACGTGTATGTATATCTATGGTAGTTCTCCGGCCGTTCGGTTGTTTTATTTTGTTTTAATTTTGTATCTACTGTGGGCTATGTGTAATAATATGTAATCGAATTATATGTTATTATGATGACCATGCATTGTTATCGGTGTTGCATGTTATGTGCCTTCTGTGAACTAAAATTGTTAGAGTTCATTAGTCCTATGTGTTGTTGGTAGTGAACTGTATATTTTATTTTTTTGTTTTCGTTTTTATAAACATCTTTGTATAATCTCTGTCCGATCTTCCGTTTGGCGCTGACAGTTAATACAATAAATATTAAGACACGATCTCGGCGATTTCAAATATACATTTAACGAGCCTTGAATTCTTTGTGTTTTAAATTTAACCGTCAGCTCCTAAAAAGAGTCCGATCCATGCAACTAGGATCCAAAGCATGAAGCCCATTATAAACCATCAATAGTGACGAACCAAGCCCGAAATAGTTTCAGCACTTCTATAAATTAGTATCCCTTTTTAGAATGAAATTGGACTGAAAAATGTACGCTTTAAATTATGAAAATAGTGAAAACCATTGTGCTTTTGGGGCTTGCTTTAAAAATTGAATCCCTTTTTATTAGTTCTGTGATTTTAAAGCCTAAAAAGGCCAAAAGAACGAACTAGAGTTAATGAACGCACTAAATTCTTCTTTTCTGATTTTATTTTACTCTTCTTAGATCGTCTTAAATGTTACCTATATTAAGTTAATGTCTTGGACACCGACTGATTACCAAGTCGCGATCGTATGCATATCGTGTTCAGTGTATGTTAATGTTGTCTGTCTATCCCGTTTTTTAGTTGAGTTTTTTTGTATCTGTTCTGTGTAGTGGCTGTTCTCTGTTGTGGACTGTATATCTATTATGTTGTATGATTTCATGCCTTCTTAAACATTCACAATACTATCAATATCTGGGCCTGTACTCACCCCGTACCTGCCACTGTACTCCAACAAAATATATCGAGTTACACCTTTTTACAAACTCTCTCACACAATACTAAAATATTTTCAATTAGCCGATCTACGTGCGAATTTCATTTATTTGATTCGTCTATAATTTTAGGTTTTATTTAGACTTTTGGTTTTTTTTTAATTTTTCTTTTTTTTTTTCGAAACAAAACTTTTTTTTTTCAATTGTAACACTACAACTACTACTTTCATTATACTCTGAACAACACAGTTCAATACAGAACAACAAGAAGACATTTTTGACTTACCGAACGTATTTCGAACTGGTTCGTATATTGAACGTACATCAAACATGATTTGTTGGTTTATTAAGGAAAATAACTACCGTACTTTTTGGCGTAGTCAGATACCGCCTTACCATGATTATTTTCGCATTAAAGTGTATTTAATGTTTGGATTCGGGTGCGTTCAATTTCGAAGATGTCATCTTGTGTGTTCGAACTACAAAGATACAAAGAAACAATACAAAGTGTAATCACACAACAAGTCGACAAACATCTCTGGCCAGGTGTATAATGACAGGCCCGAGAGCCTCCACTAACTTCACTGTACCCCTCACAACTAACATGCTCTGTGACTTTCTGTTTCTGCGGCGTAGAGCAAGGAGGCCGGCATTCGTACTCTGGTCGCTCTAGACGACCAGGGAGGTGAGTGCAAAATTTGCCACACTACATTATTTACAGTTTTATCTATTTTAAATTTTCGCTAATCTTATTGAGCATCGTAGGGGTTTCAGCCGACTCGAAGATGGGCTCGTCGTTCTACAAGACCTAAAGGGGGTATCGCATCAATTAATATATTTTTAAAATGCGTCACTGTTACTGAAATGCAAAGGTGCGGGCATCCTCCAATTCAATATGAAACGCTTACATTAGATGACACACACTGAAACGACCACGGAAAACCCTCATCTTTGTATGATCGGTTCCTTACTTAGATTATACACCACTCTGCACAACTTACAACGGGCTCCATCTTGTTCGACGAGGGCAGGTCAATTGACAATATATACAGTACCGTTTATTTGGCGGGATCGATACCTTTACATTTCGCATTCAGATGTTCGTACTAAACTCTAAATTTACAAATTTACTCGACCACATAAAACGATATTCTAACGAGCAAAGTAAATTCGAAACGCTTCTCCTCAACGCACGACTCTTGACATCACACAAAAAAATCATGATTCATATGAAACTGAGCACAGAAAACTATGATCTGGTTTTACTTGCAAGCTTGAATGCATGCATGTCGTTGTCAAGTAGAGTGTAAGCGTCGAGCGGCGCGGACGGCGTTATGCTAGAGGCAGCAGCCGCCCGCGCCTCTCGTGCTCACGTCGCGCACGCACGCCGCCACGCCACGCCACGCCCGTAGCGTCACGCGTCACGCCCGCCGCTGCTCGTCGCACCGCTCCGCGCGCGTCTCGTGCGTGCCGTACCAACCGGCGCACCGCACCCACCCCCGCACACCCCGATACTCTCTCCTACGATATATTATTTTGATTTGTATTTTATGTATAGAGCGAGGACGCCGGGGGGCAAGCGCTTCATATGTTGAGTCACCAGGGCGGTAAGAGTTAAACTGACACGTGGGTAGTCGAACCGTGAGAACGTCTGTGTTTGAATGTGCAGTAAAATTAATTGATCTCTTTATTTTTCTTTGACGTTTCTCTTGAATATCGACTTATCTAAATCGATGTTGCGTGTATATGTATATCTATGTTTCGATGGGGATGACTTTGAAATTATAGTGTAAATAGATGAGCGCGATGGCCGTTCGTTGCTAATTGTCGCAAAAGACTGTATTCTATCTTTTGCTAAAGATTTAATTTGAATGAGCTGCGCAACTGTTTAGTTCTTCCGTTGATGTGTATTGATCGGAACGCTTTTTATAGGTTATTTTATTTATCCTTCCGAATCTACTGTTGTACTCTTCTGGTATACTGCGGTAAAATGTATGCGCGTTTACCTATTGTCTGATCGACGTATAGAGTAATGGTATAACGCCTTCATTTCCATGGCTATCAGCGTACTATTAATGTTAGTTTGTAGGAATATATCTATTAGTTCGATGCGATCTGTGTCTGTGTGCGAGGTCGGCGGTGCCGCTCGCTCCTCGCCTCACTACATTATTAGTTTGTTCATTTTATATTCTTCAACTGAGTTGATACTTTGCTATTTTCACGTTTCATTTAGGAATGGCTTTATGATAACGCTCATTTGCTAATTTTATTTTGTATTTTAGTTGGTAACGAAGAGGGGTGCGTGTTTAAGACGCGCCCGTCTGACTTTATTTTCTGTTCAGTTTGTTTGGTTCTGTTATGTATGAGTTGTCCCGGCGCGTCGCGGGCGCTCGGCGAGTCCGCCGCGCGCACGAGGCCGCCTTCGACTCACCGCATACGTTTGGCGAGCTATAGTGACATCATTGTTGTGTTGTAGAGTCACGAGGTGGGCATGAAAACCCTGGTCATGCTGGATGAACAGGGCGGTAAGCATCCAGTAGTACCTACTATTTTGCATCACTCGATTTAGTACAGCTTTTGTCTGAAACGCCAGTTCGTTAACGAAAGTGAATGATGACGATAACACGTTAATAACCACCGATTGATAATGTTCTTAACAGTTTAATGGATAAAATAAAGGTAAATTTGTTTGTCATGATTAAATAAAGCTAGATATAAAACTGACTCGTAAGATCTCGGCTCCCAAGTATTGTTCGTTGCGAACCGGGACAATGAGATTAACCGATAAGTTAAATGTATTTTATTTAGTTTTCTCACGCATTTAGCTATGCACGATAAATTCAATCTTGCTATCGACTGCATGATATTTAGAAAATTTTGTTGTAATTTTTTTATATCTTTCTAAATGTTAGTTAATACAATTAAGCTGATAATGTTACAANATCTCGGCTCCCAAGTATTGTTCGTTGCGAACCGGGACAATGAGATTAACCGATAAGTTAAATGTATTTTATTTAGTTTTCTCACGCATTTAGCTATGCACGATAAATTCAATCTTGCTATCGACTGCATGATATTTAGAAAATTTTGTTGTAATTTTTTTATATCTTTCTAAATGTTAGTTAATACAATTAAGCTGATAATGTTACAATTCACTTAGTCTTAGCACATACATCATTTTCAGACAGAGGTCAATTGAATTCGTAGTTCCTCCGAGTCAAGTGTAAGACATACCGATACAATAAACACAGTTTTGCAATATTAAAATGTTTGTCGCTTTCATATTAGGGCTGTGAAATAGTATCGCTTAATGTGAAACGTTTTAATGAGTTTGCATGGAAGGTAAATAGTGTGTAATTAATTATACGACATACAAACCACATAAATATGTCTTACACTTTGTCGGTTTATTGTCGAGAGCGTTGAGAATTTACAATTAAATGTGATGATGATAATTAAAAAAAGGAATAGTCATTTTATTTTAAAATCGATACAAGATCGTTAAAGATCGCGTTAAAAATAATAAATTTTGATAGGTGCTTGAATACACATCATGCCGAGTTGGGTTTTTGAGGGATAGTCTTAAAGCGACGCTTCGTGTGTCTGTTTGAACAGAACAATTGGACAGAATCGAGGAGGGCATGGACCAGATCAACGCGGACATGCGGGAGGCCGAGAAGAATCTGTCCGGGATGGAGAAATGTTGCGGTATCTGTGTGCTGCCTTGCAACAAGTCAGTGTCGTTTACTTATTAGACTAGAGTGGGATGTGATAGTTGTACACTAAGGCCTCATTCGCACGAGAGCATTTCCTAGTATATGTTCATATGGCAGCGCTTTTAAAACGCGACGCTTTTTTTATCGCGCAGTCTTGCATTTCGAGCGCTAAGGGTTGGGCGTTACAGATTACGTCACATTGAACGTTATAAAAGCGCCAACGCCGAGTTTTAACGCATTGTTTTTAAAACGCCCGTGCGAATGAGGGCTAATATAATATAAACCCAAACGCAAACATCAAATACAATAGTATAATGGGCGGTCTTGTCAGATATCTTCTAGACAACCGTCGGGTGGACAAGTATTATCGAAGTATAGAAATTAACCGCGGTGTAATTATCGATTGAAAAAAGATATGGTCTGAGGGTTGAAAGTGCGTTCGCTTAATGCGCGACATTTATCTTTGCAATCAAAGGTCCGATTTAGGTGTGTGCGATGTTTTTAATTGAACTTCAATTAAGTTTGCTCCATTTAAATAGCTGAAGAAGTTTTTTTGTTATGATATTTTTTCCCAAATTTAAACTTTAAATGGCTTTGCTGTAACGTTGCAAAAATGTCGCTTAAACCAAATCGCTTTTCAACCCTCGATATATATCTTAAGAATGTAATAATAATATTCCTTTACACATAAAAAATAAATAAACAATTACACATACTTACCAGGTTTTACATAAATACCTTATTTACGTACTTAATAATTTCAAGTCAACTTTATTATTCCTTTGTGATTTTCATTATTAAAGTCGCCGTGGCCTAAACGATAATACGTCCGGTCTATTCGTACCGAGCGATGCGACTGTGCCAGTGTTCAAATCCCGCAGGCAGGTACTAATTTTTCTAAGGAAAAACGTACTTAATTACACGTGTTTACGAACGACTTTCGTATATCGTAATATTGCTGATGTATTGTAAGCGCGCAAAATTGGAATGGTAGGACAACCATAATATAACTGAGCCTTTAACCTCACTTTTCAAAATGGGTAGCGGCATACGCATTGTAAAGCTTATAGGATCCAGTGACCCTATTCACGACCAGTGCTAGATGAGCCGTGAGCTTGAACCAATAACAAAGTTCGTGTCGCAAAATGATTGACGCTAAAAACGAAATTTGTGATCTGTCAGGGGAGCATCGTTCAAAGAGGACGACGGCACATGGAAGGGCAACGATGACGGTAAGGTGGTCAACAATCAGCCGCAGCGGGTGATGGATGAACGCAATGGGATCGGCCCGCAGGCTGGATATATCGGGAGGTACGACCCTATTGAAGACTATAGTGCGCGCGGAACTAGTTGGCCGCGCTTAGGTGGCGACAGGGGTGAAGGGGCGGGTTGTCTACTGCTCGTAACGGACATCAGATTAGACAGTAATGACTAAATAAAATACATAAATGAATAAACGAAATAATCTATATAAATAAAAATGAATTGCTGTTCGTTAGTCTCACTAAAACTCGAGAACGGTTGGGCCGATTTGGCTTTGTTATTTGTGGAAGTCCAGAGAAGGTTTAAAAGGTAGATAAATATGAAAATGCTCGGAATTAAATAAAAATAACAATTTTGTTTTTCCTTTGATGTGTCCCCTGTCGGACGGATTCCTTTTGTTTGTTTTAAGTTTATTTTATACAAAAGTTTAGGTCTTTTATTTATATATTGAGGCAGTACGAAGTCTGCCGGGTCAGCTAGTAAATAAATAAAAAACAATTGAACTTTTAGAAGTTTATATTGTACCTATCTAATTATATTGTAATTAATAGTAAAATAAACCAAAAACAAATTAAGCTTAGGAAATTTTTCTGACGTATTTTAAAGATATATGAAATTATTTAATTAATATATACTTTTATGAAATTACTCTGAACTCTGACGTATCCTCTGAATCACTTGATTCTGAGCTCTCTGAACTTGATTCAGAATCATCTTGTAAGCTTATAATGATTTCGTCTATCATAGTATCAAATCTCATATCATCAATGACAGCAAGCGCCCCCGTCTCTGTCCCACCGCTCAGCTAAAACGCGGCCAACTAGTTCCGCGCGCATTATAGCTAATTTCGGTTCATGGTTACTAAATGCATGAAGTCATCCTTTACCATACATAAATTCGGGATTAAACGGTTTATTACTTATTTACGTATAGTAGTGGTCCCCTGGTAGTCGAAATCCGACTATAATTAATTGAACTTATAAGTTTGAACATTATTATAGTTCTGTTGACAAAGATTAGGTATTTATTATACCTCTATGATCACAGATTTCGCCAAGACTACACTATAGACAAAAAATATTTAATCTATTTTTTTTTAGGGATTTTATGACCTGGTAACTGAGACCTTTAAGTCATGTCTTATTTTAATTTATATTCATATTTTTATATCGATTAATCTAAATTTAATCTAAAAATCAATTAATGTTGATCCGTTTTTTTTACGATAGATATTTTTTCTGTCGTTTAATATATAAGTCGTGTGATAGGATAACGAACGACGCTCGTGAAGACGAAATGGAGGAGAACATGGGTCAAGTGAACACCATGATCGGGAATCTGCGCAACATGGCCTTGGACATGGGTTCCGAGCTCGAGAACCAGAACCGACAGATCGACCGCATCAATCGCAAGGTAAGATCGAATAGTTCGCCACAACCCTACTACGTGACAGACCTGTATAGTTTGAACAAAGTAAATTCGTTGAATGTTCACGTGATATTAGTGTTGCCAGATAGAAAAAAAAAAACAAGTTGCCATTATTTTGCCAGTATTATTATATTTTCGTTTACTTTAATCTTTATTAAAAGTCAGCTGTTATTTATTTCCTGAAAAGAAAATTAAAAAAGAGTAGTTAAGCACTCCTTTGTACGCGTGTACAAACATATTTTAAAATGTTTTTTTGTCTATATTATTATAAAAAATAAACGATAAGAACATTTAAATAGATTCTAAAGTTCTCTTAAACTTAACTTGTTCATGTTTTTAATATTAAGATACAACAAAAATAGTCTAGTTTTTTTTTTTATTAAACTAATTATCTACAGTAATTATTATATTTAATATTGACATCAGAAAAATAAATAAAATAGCAACACTACCAACGAATTTACTGATCAAATCTAAATAAATTTCAAATCTTCGTCTTGTACATTATCTGGTGTGGTTTTCAAATTTGTTATGCTAATGAGAAACGAATTGATTTTCCTCGAAGAATTCTGTCGCTTCTCATGGCACTCATTGATCACCATTTCAATGTGTATGCATTTGCCTGTCACTTTAGTTTAGATAGAGTTTGTCCATTATACGAAAAATGTAGCGCTTATTGGCCCTCGAAGTTGTTTGATCACCCGCTTCCTGGCAGGTATTAGGTAGAAAAAAAATAGAGTCGACATCCGATTGGTTAATAACTGAAAACATGACTTAGCTAGGATCTCCTTTTAAAAACTCGTTATAACCCATGAAGATTTAGGTCGTAATTCTGGTTAAATTCTACTTAGTGCTGCTATTCTAAAAGTCTCGAACAAGAAATGCATGTCATTGGTCATCTGGAGATAAAAGAATTGTTCTTGTTGGTGCTATTTAGAGATTAACTTACTTTGGTCGAATAAGGGTTTGAGGCAGTTAAAATGTAATATCTCCTCAACGGCCCTGTCAATTTATGATAAGATAAAATAACATGTTTCCTCAGTAGCCAAGTAAGACTATGAAGCGGATAAAATCTCTTGTTACCTCCGGCGCTTAGATTAATCTGTGATACGAATAGAATAACCAAATTCCCCCGTTACCAAGTAAGACGCCCGAAACGAATTATTATTTCCTCATTAGCCAATTACGAGGAGATATAAAATACACATTTCCACGACGGCTAAGTCAACCAGTTATGTTATTATATAAAAAATAAAAGTAAATGTGAAGTTTTAAGCAACCTTACTTGGTAACTGACTCGATGGTGCAGTAGTCAGCGCTCCTGATTGCTGGGCCGAAGCACGTGGGTTCGATTTCCACATTGGCCATACATTCATTGTAACACTGAGACCTTAGAACCCATGTCTCAGGGTGGGTGGCGGCATTTACGCTGTAGATGTCTATGGGCTCCGGTAACCACTTAACACCAGGTGGGCTGTGAGCTCGTCCAACAGTACGCAAAAAAATAATAATTAAAAGGTCTTTTTGCTATTTATATCAGTCTCTTGTTTGAGGCTGGATGACCGCCTGTCACTTGTTCCCGGTTATTATCATTATTATTAACTATGTATGAAGTTTTAAATCTGTTTATAAACCTTAAATAGTCGACCTATATAAAATTAGTATTCAGATGTGATATAGTTGCATATTCTTATTGCCTATTCTTCTATCTTAAGCATGCTCTATTAGATTTAGAAATGAGGAATGATACGTTTTTTTTTTCGTAATATAGTAATGTACTCTCGTCTCACGATGTCATGACTCCCAATGAATACGTTACATAACCACATACCGGAATTAGTTCCGACATCATTCGAATAACATGTCCGACTCCCGCAGAATTAGAGGTCATCAGTAACACGCATTCATACTAACTAACATGTTATATACCTACTCTGTCTGTCAAGAAACAGCGACTGACATGCCAATGGAAATGGCAAGCGCGGATAAGTCGTTATAGCCGGTCCGACGCCGCTTTTATTATTATAAACATGTGCAGTCGCTGTGTATTGAGCTTGTACTATATATATATAAAAAAAAAATACGGGTCTTGTGTATCATAGGGAGAGTCAAATGAAACGAGGATAACTCTGGCGAACCAGCGCGCTCACGAGCTCCTCAAGTAAACGACGGCGGCACCCAAACACACAACAGACAAACACACACAGTCTCGTGGATTGTTTATAAATACGCGTAAATCAAACAACAAAAAAATAATAATCCTAAAAGCGCCTAATCTATAGTCCGTATTTGAATTTGTTCACGAATAATAATAGAGAATTTTCAAATGGTACGTATAAAATATGATGGTACAGTTTTGGCATTATTAATTTCTAGTAAACATTGGTTTGAATTAAGATGCTATGTTTGATTGCATCTTGATAACCAAATAAATGTCAAGTATATTTTTGGTGGTTTGTAAAAAGCATATGGATGTTCAAAAAGCCTCGTCCTTGCGTTATTGTATGTGAGTCGACTATTATCAAAGGCGGCAATCTGACTTTTGGACAATGATTGGTAAATCAGAAAAACGAATTATTGACTTTGTATTCCATTGGCAGTCACAAAACTCTTCGGAACGACATCTTAGATAAATAAAAGGTTAACTATTAACCTTTATTTAATGCAGGTTTTGAACCGTGTTCTTTGAAGGAGAGACGATTATATTCAAATCAATCTGAATTGACATATCAATAAAAAAAAATTGTCCAAATGCACAGATTGCCACCTTTGATAATAGACGACTCATGTAAAGTATTATAAGATGAACTAGCTGTTCTATCTGTGCTAAACAAATTCTTACTTACGAAAGTATGCTTGTTTAACTGCTTTATAGAATTTTTCAGCAAGAAAACAAATCAGTTAGCTTCCTTACGATTACGTATTGAAGAAAAGATGACGTCTGTGCTTCCTTTTAGTAATTATATCTTAATAACCATAATTAAATGTTCGAATGTAAAAGCGCTTTTAGACAATTCATATGGCATATTGACGTAAAACGAATGAGAAAATAAATTCATACGATATTCTATAAAGCAGTCAATAGAAGAATTAACTTTGAAAACGAAATTTTAACATTATATTATAGAAAAAATCACATATGTAACTCAGTGAATAATTTTATTCCTTCGATTATTAATCTAAATAAAATATCTCGTAATACATTTTTTCTGTATTTACCTTACCTTAAAAATTGTAGCCTAATTCTATAAAGTTATATAAACTTAAAATTCATAAAAACTTTTGTCACCTTCTATCTATTATAGTTAGTAAGGTCATTATTTGAACGCACTTATTCTATTTACCTACCTCTTTTTTTCACAATAATAAAGTTGCTCTATGAATTTTGCAAATTTTAATGTTGAATCTATGAAGACTAAATAGGGTTGTCATTTATATAAAATTACAAATACATAGTGAAAGGCCGATATCCAGCTTAAAGACCGAATAAATTAATTAAACATTCATGAAAAGTAACTTTAAATGTAATCAAATACCAATCATATGATAATTATGATCAAAGTTTACCATATTACATTCGCATATCAAAAACTTGTTGAAATCTCGAATGGTACCGCAAGAACCGAGCGAAAGAAGTCAAAAATCGTTTTTCAAGGCTTCAAAAATAAATGTATAATAAAATAATAAGAAAAAAAAAACAATAAATAAAATCGAAACAAAACACGTACGAAACAAAAGTGACAACCCTACACACGCGGCATACTATGTTTGAAATGTCACACGTAAATCGATTACGCACCCATATTGTATTAAATTTATGACAGCCGATTGAACAGATCTTGAATCACGTAGTCTGATACGCTCAGATACGACAAGGAGTTCGTGATGGATTAGACGAATCTCTTGTTAGTCCGCAATCGAACGTTATCGGGCACTAAAATGCGGATTAGGGAATGCGAAATACGTGAGAAAACCTGAAAACGATAAACGACCGCGCTCACACGATAACAGATTGTAACTATACATACGTGAGACCTTAGAACTTATATCTCAAGGTGGGTGGCGCATTTACGTTGTGGATGTCTATGGGCTCCAGTAACCACTTAACACCAGGTGGGCTGTGAGCTCGTCCACCCATCTAAGCAATAAATAAAAAAAGTTGTTCTTTTGTTATCTTCAATTATTATGTGTGTTCGATATTTTAAAATTAAAAGACTTTAATGTTTAAAATTGATTTATATTTAATACGAAAGGCAAGAGACCGAAAGTAATTGAGTGCGTATATAGAGACCTACGCTCGGCATTGGGTGGACATAGGTTAAAGAAGAGATAGAGAATGTTTAAAATAATATGGTCCGTATTGCGAGGCTGCACGGGTAGATGTCTTCTTGCCTATTTCTGTCGTGAAGCAGTCCTGTGTTTGAAAGGCGGAACCATCTTTATACAACCTAATTGAGATTACTATTGTTACTACAATTTTTTGTTCGAACGAGGTGCGTATCCATTCTACGTGATACAATTCGGCATACGTTTGAAACATTGATCTGTACAACAAACAATTATAAATCAATCATTCCCTTATGAAATAAAATAATAAAGTTATAAATTATAGTATATTATATAAAACTTAATAGATGAAATTATTAAAATAAACAATTAGCAATAAGATGTTATGTCCTTTCATGTTAATAAACATCATAATATAATTATTATATTCAATATTAGAATGTAGCTGTTGTTTGAAGACCTTTTTAAGCCGAAATAACATAATCAGTGAATATTTAAAAACTTAATAATAGAGATTAGAAATTAAAAAAAAAAATTGTTGAAGATTCCAGATTACGATATTCAATTCTTGTGCCATCAATATAATTTTTTTTCTCCTCTATGTATGCTTTCCAACAATTCTGTAAATAAATAAAGAAGGCTTCGAAGCTCGCAAAGAAATGTAGCATTAGTTAGAATATGTGAAGTGATAGGGACGGATATGTGATAATAGAATTTGATTAAGAACATTTAAAAAAAAAAAGTATTAACATCATATAAGTTTACGGCTGAACCGTACAATTTGATCGGCTTTCGTCTAAAAAAAAAGATAAATAAATCATAGACGTTTCAAGCGTAGAAGTATTTATGTTTGTGCAACAATGTACAGATTATATTTATTAATTTTTAAAAACAAAACTTTTTTTTTTTTAAAACGAATGAATCCTAGGGCAATGAACGTTCCGTTTTAAGTATTAAATAAACAAAATTGATGTTCGGTTATTTATATTCGTTAAAATAACAATGAAATAATAACATATCTTCGCGAGAGTAACAAATGTATCTGCTTCTACGTTGCGCATATGGAAAGATGATTATATTATATAAATGAGCACTAGTTTGTACTAGATTACCATTAATTAGCATTACTAATATAATAAATAAATGAAACATAATTTATTGTTCTTAGCTATTTTTATTTATTTTGTGAATATTAAATAAAATAAAAAAACATTCGAGTACAATTTTTATTTTTTTATTTATTTTATTGTACAATTATAATTCCCCGCCGTAACTTGTGCTCAAGAATTAAATTACAAAATTATTTAATAAAATTGTTGAGAGGTTAAAAACGACCTTGAGTCTTGATTCATTGAGTTGGAATTGAACCACGAGACTGCAACACCGACACATACACACACACGAACACAAAGAAATCAGTGAAAAAAGTGAGTATGAATAAATATTTTATACGCACCTTTCTTTAACAGTGCACCGCTTTCAAAATTTGTTACTGTGAATTGCAGCATCATTAAAATTATTAAATTTTCGCAAAACTTTACAGCCGCACTGAAATTTTGATTATGTAAATGAATATCCACAGTGCGTTTCCAGAGGTCTTTTTTGCCACGTACCATTCGGCTATGGAATGAGCTCCCCTCCACGGTGTTTCCCGAGCGCTATGACATGTCCTTCTTCAAACGAGGCTTGTGGAGAGTATTAAGCAGTAGGCAGCGGCTTGGCTCTGCTTCTGGCATAACTGAAGTCCATGGGCCACGGTAACCACTTACCATCAGGTGGGCCGTACGCTCGTCTGCCTACAAAGGCAATAAAAAAATGATAAAAAAAATAACAATTAATTTGAAAGTAGGATGAATAATAATGAAAACAGACGTCGTGTTGTTAGACCAAAAACTGTACAAATTAAAGGTTTCTTCCGCCCATAAATAAGTTTTCTTAATTGAATCAAAAAGTACATTTCGTATGTCTTAACATACACGTGACGATATCTTATAAGATAGTACTTATATCCGTAAAGTGACAGTTACTAAAAAGTAGGTATTTAATGAATACGCGGATAGTCTAAAATGAAATACATATTCAATTCGCATAAAATAAATAGTCGAAATCGGGTACGAATTTTGATAAATGATGGCAATTCACATTGTAATAATGATTCTATAACACAATAGCTTTCGGTGTTATAATTTTAAGGTAGAATAAATTTAAAAAAAAAAGCTTAACGCTTCGACTAACGCTATTAAGATAGAGATTATAAAATTTTGTAATTATTATCTTCCTGTAAGAAGTTGTATATTGGAACCGCTTTCGAAAACGAAGGTAGATAGTACTGATGATTGCTCACACATTAACAAAAAAAAAAAAAACAATACGACGCGCAATGGAACTCAATGATAGAACATTGACGCTCGGGGTCAATGGCCTCGTGTGCCGCCATTACTTCAGTTGCGGACTTACAAAATATAAATTTGCTAACAGGATGCTTAATCGTACGTACTTGAATGTACATAGTTTTCCATTTATTTGAAGTAATACTTATCAGGATTTCGATTTCGCGAACGGTTCGCTCATAACTCAGTGTATTATGATAACTAATTCGGTTGCCAAACAATAATAGCGGTGATGTGTTCGGAAAACTTTAACTAAAAACTAAAATTACAATTCCCACAACCATTTACGTTTTCTCGAACACGATTAATTTTGCTAGGGATGGATCGATTTAATTATTTTATGTGTTGGCAAGTGTATTTATTAATCACTAAATATATAATGAACATGCAAAATTATTGTAGGCTTTCTCAATTGTTGTCACGAGACATTTGATTAAAGATTATACCCGTACAGATGAGATAAATGTTACCCAAGAAAGATTTACCAGTAAATGAACAACGATAAACCACGCTTTAGCTGTGCGTTTGGCATTAAATTTCATGAGTTACAGTGACCACTTATCATCAGATGGGTCGTATGATGGGTGTAAAAACAATGCAAAATACCCATACTATAATATAATTTTATAATTAATAATTAAAGGGTAAGAATAAAAATAAAAAATCATCTAAGCAATAAAAAAAGGCTACCCTTGTATTAAAAACGATTATGTGAAATTGTACTGAAATACGTCGCGCAATAATAATAGTAATATTCATTATATTATATATTACATATGTGTATTGTTTGTATAATAGCCGTAAACAAATTTATAAATGAGTTGAATCACTTGTGTATTAATTACATATTGGATTCTACAGTGTATATTTGACAAGCCCTTTTTTAATAAAAATTGAATTAATTAAGAACGCGAAAGGGCTCTGTTTAAATTTACTTATTTGTAAAATAATACTAAATAGGATATGAAGTAGATTAGGTATATTTGTAAGACTAAAATAATTATGAGAAAGCCTACAATCCCGATAAAAGATAATGTGACTAACTAACGTCTAATATAAAAATAAACATTTCATAATGACTTCTTGATGCAGACTAATTTAATGTTTATATATTCTAGGGTGAAAGCAACGAAACTCGTATCGCGGTTGCCAATCAACGAGCGAACAAACTCCTCAAATCCTAAACAAGAAAACGATGAGGGATCATCATTTAACCGCATGCCTCCACCGCACCTATGTAATCAACGCTTTATCTCAATAAGCATAGCGTATATTTTTAATCGTCATATACATAAACTCAACAGGAAAATGTGTACAACGAAGAAAAGCTATTTTTTTTTGTTTTCATTTTAGTTAAACCTCTTCATTACAACCTTATTATGTATATTAATCGTTATACGTACATATATGTATGTGATTACTGTTATATAATTTTAAAATTAATATATAGCTAATAATATATAATGAAAATATATAGCAAATGTTGAAAGGCAATACAGTAAAATTATAATAGTTGAATGCTTTAAAGCCATCAAAAATCTTTTCAGTTTCATTTGGATCTCTTGAGAAACTTTTGAATTCGAAGCTTTAGTTTAAAAATTTGTAAATCAATATTGCCATCTTCATATTATCATTCCGTTTCCTTTGAAATTAGTTTTCATACATAAAACTTTATTACCATATCGTTATAAATAAATAAAAATTTATTTCCTTCGTGTGCCAAAAATATTAAGAAGTTTTGTTGCATTTTATTACAAATATAGAACCCGGGAAATTTTAAGTTAATTTATTTTAAGCACAAAAAGGATCAATTAGTTAGGTTTTGTCTTGGCAGTTTTAAGGTTCAATTTCATTTGAATCAGTCACATAGGCAGTTTCCGCATACATTTTGTGCAAGATTCATTAAATTATTAAACATGACTGATTGTGCATCGCCTTCTTACACGAGCACTAGAAAGAGACAGAGATTTGCCGACTCGCCACGAATAACAAACACATTCCTGGGCTAAACCGTAAAATTGTAGATTATCTGTGAGACTATTATTTTCATAGTTTCCACAGTTAATAGAAACTAAAAATGAAGCCTTCTTATAATGTGAAACCGTGCTTGAGAAAGCTAAAAACATATAAAGCTAAGGTTAGAAAAAAATTGGTTGCATTAATAAAAAAAACAGGTAATTTAGAAATTTACAAATGTTAGCATACAATAAAAAAATTGATTAAAAAAAAACAACTAGAGTTGAGGTCAGTTTTCAGAACATTATTAAATTCAAGGTGGGTGGCGCATTTACGTTGTAGATGTCTATGGGCTCCAGTAACCACTTAACACCAGGTGGGCTGTGAGTTCGTCCACCCATCTAAGCAATAAAAAAAAAAAACAATCTGGCCGCACACCTCTGAGATGACGTTCATGAAAGGTTTGTCTCGCACATACTAAATCAACTTTTTTTTACCTATGCTAATAGCCTTAACAGGCTATTTCAGCTTCTCCTTGACGTGTAGGTGAGCTCACGGAGCTCAAACCGGAAAATCAACGTAACGCGTGACGCGCATTTTACACTAGCTATCATTTTAATATTAACTATGAATTCATTAAAAATTTACGATTCACTTTTAATCGCTTTAAATCGATTTACATTTAGGAAAAACAAATACTACTAAAATAACCACAGATGTAGGTAATGTTAATTATTATTAAACTCGCCATTTTTGGCACTCGCAAGAACGACGCGTCCTACGTCACACATGTAGCTTAACAAAAGTTGTTGCCATTTAAAATAAACGGAGTTCCGACGCGCCCTGAGCGACACACATGGCTTACGTCACCCTAATATCTACCTTAATAAATATTTTATCAATACGTCTTCTTAAATTAAATACTAGTGAGATTTTAATATTAAACATTGTGTAGTGAATTTTAAATATTTGTTCAAGTTTAACGTATTCGTAATTTTTATGTCTAGTTTCACGCTCTGTACAATCTCGTGAACGATACGAAATTCATAATTCGCGCTTATCATCTCGTTTCCATAATAAGACGCTTAATATCCGATAGTGAGTTATTTAGAAGTGCGAATTATAGATTTTGTTTCCGTAGTTCATAGTGCTATTTGTTTATTTATTTATTAGAATAAGATAACGGGTGCTTCGTTGTGTAAGTTAGTAAATGTTTTTTTTTTTNTAGTGAGTTATTTAGAAGTGCGAATTATAGATTTTGTTTCCGTAGTTCATAGTGCTATTTGTTTATTTATTTATTAGAATAAGATAACGGGTGCTTCGTTGTGTAAGTTAGTAAATGTTTTTTTTTTTTTAATTCTCTTCTACTGTTTTCCGTTTTGACCTCCTTTAGTTTTAATATCTTCACATGAAATTCTACAAAACGGTTTTTTTCTTTTTAATTTTTTTTTCTTTAAAACCGTAAATTTATTGTTACGTTATTTAGAAGTGCTGTGAAACAAAATTTGTATTTAAAAACAATAACTTAAAGTACTATGTAATTTGATTACAAATGTCAAATGCTTTGGTCCATTAAATCATATAACATAATATTAACTTATAGTTGAGCATTCGTAACATTATATTAATATTTAAAAGGTATTAATCCTATAAATGAATTGTACCGGCCTTAGGAATATGTAATGTGTAGGAATAAAAAAGGATGGCTTCAAAATTAACCCCGTTTACCGGTTAGATGTTAAGGATTATCAAAGTTTTTCTCTATAAATGTCTTTCTCTTTATATTAGTTTTTAAGTAAACGAAGTAGTACGTCGCAGACGCGTAGTACATACATATAGTGAGTACAATAAAATTGGGTCATATATATTGTGAGGTTAATAAAATTGGGACATACATAATAATATAATATTGGAACAGAAACAAGCGAAGTAATTAAAGGCATTGAACTATAATTGAAATCCCAACATTTGTAAAACTTGACTTAAACAAGAGGATGTGGTGGCTAATGAGATCAGCAGTTCCTGCAAAATACTTCAAAACCGACCCTCGTTTCAATGTATTAGTTGTAAGTAAAAAACATATTTAACAATAAAATAAATCATATGAAATGTTAATTTCATTACGGATTTGTTGAATTAAAAGACAAAGTTTGTTTCATTTTCCCTTTTTTCCCTTAACTATTCGCTGGTACCCTAAGGGGCTATTTCACCGAAACTTACTTTTTTTTTTTATTGCTTCGATGTGTCGACGAGCTCACAGCCCACCTGGTGTTAAGTGGTTACTGGAGCCCATAGACGTCTACAACGTAAATGCGCCACCCACCTTGAGATAAAGTTCTAAGGTCTCAAGTATAGTTACAACGGCTGCTCCACCCTTCAAACCGAAACGCATTACTGCTTCACGGCAGAAATAAGCAGGGCGGTGGTGCCTACCCGCGAGGACTCACAAGAGGTCCTACCACCAGTACAGCTACCTGTGTGACTGGGGCTCAATCTGAGAGAGTGTGCTACCCTGCCCCTAACAAGAGCCATTTGCTTAAGTGACTGCTTCCCAAAATCTACCACTATGGGAATCGCGTTTTTCCCTTCAACTAAGAGTGATCAATCGCAGTAAAGGGAATGTGAATTAGTTGGATTGACTCCGTAAAGTAGGTAATTGTTATGCGTAATGTGTATAATGTTATCGACAAGACCAAACATTTTCGTCACAATAATAGTTGGGCAATTTAATTTTTTATATATTTTTTTTATTGCTCGTGGGTGGACGAGCTCACAGCCCACCTGGTGTTAAGTGTTTACTGGAGCCCATGGACATCTACAACGTAAATGCGCCACCCACCTTGAGATATAAGTTCTAAGATCTCAGTATAGTCTTTAGTAAATATGCGTCCAATTAAAATATGGATTTTGCAATTTGTTAAATTGATGATTGATGGATTTGAAACAATTATATTTCTTACGCGTCAACTAGTTATCTTAGACAATCTGGCAGATCAATCTTTGTGCTTAGTGCGAGTTTTTTAACGTTCTCGATAGCGTAAAAGTTAACTAAAAGTATGCAGTTGGAACAGCGCCCCTAGCGGCAAACTACACACACTAACCAAAACTGTATGCAATAAAGAAAATAATCAGCAAACAGCCACAGTAAAACACTACTATTGCATATCGAATCCGTAACATCTCGCAATATATTCAATCATGACACTGCTGTTTTTGTGAAGAAGGTAAAAAATAAACATCTTGAATAATTTGTTCTCATTAAATAATTTATTTTATAAACACAACCTTCAATGAAAATTTAATACATATAATTTGCTTCTCTGTAAGTATTCTTAATTTTAAACAACATATTGATTACAATGTCGTATACAGACAGAACCATGACTGGTTCAAATCATGTGCCTATTTTATGCTTATACATTAATATTATTATTATTTATGTTTTTAAAATTTCAGACTTTCCATGTATTTCGAACATTGTAAATAATTCTCATTTTACGAAATCCAATTTTTTAGCACAGGCGATCTTTCTCGCAACACTGGTGTCAGTGTATTCCGTCAATCAGCTGATTGTTAATTTCGCAGTGCAAAAGCTTTGTAAAACAAGTACTTTCGTTTTTTTTTTTTTAATTATTAATGTAATCCTGCAAATCGACTGATCTGCGCGTTTCATACATAATGTCGTTCGGACACGAATAACTTTTTTTGTATTGTAGGTATAAAGTACAAATCACAAACCAAAGAAAATTCTAAACCTCGATTTAAATAACATTGCAATACTTAATAGTAGACTCCAAACAAACAATAGAATCGTACTGCGAGCACTATAGCATGATAGAAATAGAAATACAGTCAAACCTGGATAAGCGAGTGTTCAAGGGAGCACAATCTCATTCTCGCTTATAGAGGTTTCTCACTAACCCGAGTTTCTCGCTAATGCACCTGAATTTCATTTCGCGATTTTCCGGATTCAAACGCATTCACTATTCACTTAATGACAGTACTTTAATTTTCCGTTTGGACATGATGCAGAACAGAACTTTCCTTCGCAATTGATTAACGTTAAATTGAGTAAGTCCGACAAACAGGACGGTACAGAGGCACACGTGTCCATTCGAAAAGAATGCGATAAAATAACAACGCTATTTAGTTCCACGAAATAGAATAGGTTCAATATTGACGAGAAAACAATTCAAAAACAATAGACGGAAGTTCCACAAAAGTTAAGAATGAGTCATAAAATAGCAGATGTTAAATTCGTAATTTGTTTTTTCATTTGTTCCTCCTAAATAATATAAATAAATAAATCTCGGCTGTCGCTTATAGAGGTATAGATAAGTAGCAGTCTCACTTATGGAGGTCCATGAGGGAAAAACGACTCTCTCTTACAGAGGTTTCTGTTTCTCTCTAATAGAGGTTTTGGGAGCTTAAAATGACGGGTCCTGGCTATTACTCTCACTTATAGAGTTTTCTCACTTATCCAGTTCTCGCTTACCCAGGTTTGACTGTATATATAATTAATTATAAACTTATCATCATTTACAAACTTGATACTAGACTTGAAGACTTAATGGATTCAAAGAGATGGTGATAGAGTATTACACAACTCATGAGTTCAAGTACCTAGCCTAATAAAACAATATCTTATCTCATATCTTTGAAATTTTATAAACACGAGTACCTACTTTCTTTGGTCTTACTTTATTGTTTACTCTTATTAAAAATATATGTGAAATATGGACTAGAATAAACCGGAAATGGAAATTAAGAACACATTAATTTGTTATTTTGTAGTCCTTCACAGTTCTTGATATTAAAATTATTAAATAGGTGACATTGACAGCCGGGTTAATAACCCGCTTGACAAAGGGAAAATACAAAAGCAACATGAAACTAGAATTAAGTTTTAAATTATATTACGAGGAACCTTTACAAACGGGATGACAGTGACAAATATTATATTACTCTACTTTTTTTCATACCTATTCGCTGGTATCCTAGGGAGCTATTCCAGCTAAGGCAGCTAAACATTACATTCCATTACACTGGCATTCTATTCCGTAGGGTTGCTACAATCGTGCCAAAACATCGAGAGCTAAATTTATAAATTTAGAAAATCTTTGGATTTATTGGCATTTATTAGATACCATAAATAAGTTATACATTTTAAAGTACTTTACATAGTGAAACAAAATCAATTTGTTTACAAAAATTGCTTGAATTCCTAACGAATTAGGATATATTTTGACAGATGTAGTTACAAAAATTGCCTTAATGAAAAATATATAGGAGCTTCTGAAAATATGGCGCATGAAAATATTTACGTTTCTTGCTTTATAGCGCTTTCTCTAGCACAAAGAATTCTTGTTCCGTATTTCTGCCAGCACAGAAGCTTAGCTTAAAGCAACAAAACATTCAGTCATCACGCCTATGACGAATTGTTAGTGTATTCGCATGCGATAGCAATATCTTTATTTAATTTAGAATTATAACTTAAGACTTCCCGCGTTTTACATTGAATCTTCTTTGACTGAAATTCACTGTAGCTATAAATTATTTAAACACATATACACTGTCACAATATTGAGCGTCTTATTTAAATATAGCATTACATAACATTCTCCGGTATCCTTCGTCGTTTTCATATTATAACTGCAAGAAAAGAATATGAAAAATTAAAAAACTCCTATTTTATCCAGAAAGCTAATAATAATTAAATCTATTAATACAAAAACGATTATATCTTTTAAAAAAAAATTGTGATAGTATTCAATTAAATACATAAATGTATTTAAGAATGTATGTATGTTCCTTCTATTCATTACATTACGGATTCGTTGTTAGCTAAGTAATCCCAGTTAAAATACAATTCTGAGTATTTTTTTCTTTTGTATATTTGGAGTACAGGTCGTCGAACTCGATGAGAAATGAGGTCGTAGTCTCAATTATAGAGTAGCAATTGAACGGATATTCCTCGATGTCCTTCGTAGCAGAAAACAGAACAGAAAAAATTTGAAGAAAAAACCAGGGCACTAGGACATGCTTTGGTAGATTTAAAAATTTACTGAAATTATTAATCCATCTTCAAATAAGAATCGCTGTTATAATAATATAAGGAAGTAAAATAACAGAACGCGCCTGCGAAGCGAAAACTTGTCCTTCTTCAAACGAGGCATGTGGAGAGTATTAAGCGGTAGGCAGCGCCCATGGACTTCAGTAGGCATTGCTGAAGTCCATGGGCGACGGTAACCACTCACCATCAGGTATGCTCGTCTGCATACAAGGGCAATAAAAAATTTTAAAAAAATTAACAAGCCCTTACTAATCCAAACGTTCGTTTAAATCTAAATCCTTCAATCATCACTACATAGTATAAAACAAAGTCGCTTACTCTGTCCCTATGTATGCTTAAATCTTTAAAACTACGCAACGGATTTTGATGCGGTTTTTTTTAATAGATAGAGTGATTGAAGAGGATGGTTTATATGTATAATAACATCCATTAAATAGTGGAGAAATCAATAATAAATTACAGTTTCCGAAGCGAAGCGAGGGCGGGTCGCTAGTAGAATATAATTTACTCACTGAATTCAACGGTAACCTCGAGAGAAACCATGACCGCAAACCCGAGGAGAGCGCACGCGAACTGCAGGAGGCCGCTGCTCCGCTTCCACACCTCAAAGAACACCACGTAGACCAGAGTACCGCAGGCAATGCCCTGAAATATGTTTCTAAGTGTATCATCCGGACAAGCAAAACAGTAAGTGCTTGAGGTAGAAAGATTCAAAAAACCGACAGCGTGTGTTATTTTTTTTAATTTTTTTTTTTTAGGTTTTTCATAAATATGTTGTACCTATATATTTCGTAACAGTTATTTACTAGCTTTGGTTAACAGATGTTTTTATTGACTTGATATCTATCTATGCGATTTACGTTAACTTCCAGGCACGAGAAATTTGCATACGTATCGAAGACCGATGGCAATACATTCATATAATTACTTTGACCTAATGTAAATATCAGGATCACCAAAAGTATAAAATAAAAACCAGTTTTTAGTTGAGCTTGCTATAGCATGTCTTTTAGTTAATATCCTATAAAGAACATTGTCTGATAAATTTACAAAAAAAAAACGTTCGAACGATTTTTCATATCTTTACAATCATTAGCTCTTACTTTTCACGTCTTCCTAAGAAATCATCGTACATTTTTAAATAAGTATGAATATTTAAAGTAAATCTCTCTTCATTAAACAGTGGTTGTTTAAAAGGCTCAACGCAAAAATGCAACTATTTATTTAATCTAAAATTAACAATATACTTTTTAGATAACATACTTTGATATAGATAGCCAAATCTCGATAAGTAGAAATCACCTGCCTGCTTATTTCTACGGTGAAGCAGTAATGCGTTCTGATTTCAAAGGTGAGATCGTCGATAAAATATACAACTCAGACTCGGACCCCATTGCGTTTGTTATGTTGGGTGGCGACTCTCACGTTGTTGATGTCTGTCTATTCTATAGGCTCCGATTACAACTTAATACCATGGTCTCCGTTGGTAGATTCTGCGAAGCACTGCTCTAACTCGGACCAGTGTTGCTGAGCCCCGTGAGCTCACCTACTAGCTCGCTGAATCTAGAGTAAAAGAGCGTGAAAGTTAACTCATATTTGAATGGAGTTGAAACGTTTGCGTACGTTTGCCGCTAGGGGCGCTGTTCCAACTGCATACAAAATTGGCTTAACTTTTACGCTATCGAGAACGTTAAGAAACTCGCACTAAGCACACTGACTTAATCTTAAACTAGCTAACCCAAAAAAATATATAAGACTGACCTGTAACACCACTGAATATAGTCCGGCTGCCGCGGCACCTGACCCTCCTACTAGTAAGATCCCAATGCCGATACCCAACGCTGACATGAACGAAAACGTAAAGATGTAGACGAGAGACAGCCATTTTCTCGTGCCAGCCGCTAACAGTTCAACTCCGATGCAGAAAGCAATGATGTATTTGTGGGCTGACACCGCTCCGAACATATACCTGGTGGATAGAAGGACTTCAGAGGCTGTTAGGCGTGCTGTGCCTAATTCTGCCCCGAAATTTACTGGTGCTAAATTTTTACTGGTGGTAGGACCACTTGTGAGTCCACACGGGTAGGTACCACCACCCTGCCTATTTCTGCCGTGAAGCAGTAATGCGTTTCGGTTTGAAGGGTGGGGCAGCCGTTGTAACTATACTGAGACTTTAGAACTTGTATCTCAAGGTGGGTGGCGCGTCTACGTTGTAGATGTCTATGGGCTCCAGTAACCACTTAACACCAGGTGGCCTGTGAGCTCGTCCACCCATCTAAGCAATAAAAAAAAAAAAAAAATTATAACGTTTCGGACCATTTGCCGGGAGCGCGAATTTGGATGCTCTTTTTTTTTTCATTAGTGTTTTTCTTCAGATTTAAACGTGAATTAATAATGGGGGCTTATTAACTGTTTAGTATCTGTGAAACTACAAGTGTTGTGAATAGTATTAAAGTTTTTTTTTTCCCGAAAATCCACTAAAGTCTCATTAAAGACCCAAAATTTACTGGAACATTATTTTATCTCATTTCGTTTTATTAAGCTCTATATCATTTTATTTGTTGCTAATTATATAGTAATAATTGCAGGTTTGCTTAAACGAAAGGAATTCAGGCTAAAAATAATAATAAACAAATCGTTTATCATGAAAATGATGAAGAAGAAGGAGAACCCTTCAAGGTTGCGGTAGAGACGTCGATCCGGTATTAATGGTAGACTGTGGTATTATCAATATCCGTCTATGAGCTATTTGAGGTATTATGAGGAAATTGAGTAGACTGTGGTATTATGAGGAAATTTAACGCCGCCTCTAGGTCCTATAAGAGGGTTATTGCCAAGGCGAAGTCGGAGCACGTTGCCAGAATTGGCGAGCGACTGAATAGCTATCCCTCTGGGAGCCGTGCTTTCTGGTCGCTAGCTAAGGCTGCAGAAGGTAACTTCTGCAGGTCTAGCCTTCCACCACTGCGTAAGTCCAATGACAGTCTGGCTCANGGAAAAAAAAAAAAAAAAAGGGGGCTTATTAACTGTTTAGTATCTGTGAAAGTACAATTGTTGGGAATAGTATTAAAGTTTTTTTTTTTCCGAAAATCCACTAAAGTCTCATTAAAGACCCAGAATTTACTGGAACATTATTTTATCTCATCTCGTTTTATTATGCTCTAAATCATTTTATTTTTAGCTTATTATATACTAATAATTACAGATTTGCTTAAAGGAAACGAATTCAGGCTAAAAATAATAATAAACAAATCGTTTATCATGACAATGATGACGAGGAAGAAGGAGAACTCTTCAAGGTTGCGGTAGAGATGTCGATCTGATATTAATGGTAGACTGTGGTATTATCAATTTCCGTCTATTATGAGCTTTTTTTACTGGAAGTAGGACGTCTTGTGATTGCGTCCGCACGGGTAGGTACCACCACCCTGCCTATTTCTGACGTGAAGCAGTAATGCGTTTCAATTTGAAGGGCGGGGCAGCCATAGCTAAAAGTGAGATCTTAGAACTCATGTCTCAAGGTGGGTGGCGGCATTTACGTTGTAGGTGTCTATGCACTCCGGTAACCACTTAACACCAGGTGGACCGTGATCTCGCCCACCCAACTACGCTAAAAAAAATCCCTGTCGGCACTAGTAAAATAACGTGATTGCTTTAATATACTGTTTAAAATTTTCTACCTACAATTTTTATCACTAAGATACAAGTCGAACAGACTTCATATGAGGTAAATGATATGAGAGCTGTAACTGATGCTTTTGCATTACCCAACCTAAATTAAGTTTTATTTAAATGTGACTTTAGAATAACAATTCAATCACAAATGCCCTAATTTAATCTATAAATATGATATTTGACTTAGAAACAACGTCAAGATCACATTGATGGATACTCCAGATGCACAGTTTAGAGTCTACGATAAGATACGTAAAGTTGACTGATTAAAAACATTCAAAATAAATCACTAGTTTCTGTTTATACCTATAGTACTTTTTTGGTATTCATCGTACTAGTATTTTTAGGTAAATAGGAAAATAAAACAATAAAATAAAGGGCCACCGTCTTTTAAAAATTTAAAATATGATGACAATCCAATCAAAAGAGCCTTTTGAACAAATTATAAATAACTGATATTGTAATATCTGATTTATCCACTGAAGTATGAAACCTATGGAAATGAAACGTCATAAAAAAAATCGTGCCACTGTGACGTCATCTGGCCACAAAACATGGCGGCTTTAGTGCTGCCCAGAAGATTTTAATGTTAGTAGGTTTTATCGATAAACGTTCTTGGCTCATTTTATTTTAAATATTGTTGAGTATAAATTATTTGTAGAATTTATACTTTAATAGGAAGTAAGTAAATTGTTATGTGCAAAGATGATGTGATTTAGATATTATGTGAAATCTAAGACGAGTTCGTGCTTCAAATTTGCCAAGTAAACGAGGACGATTTTTAAAATTTGCTACACTGTTTTTACAAAGTTTTTGTTTGCCGCAAAACATAAAGATATGGCGTAGTACAGTGCCATCTGCCCATTTCTGGCATGCTAAATGTTATCGTATTTTGAGTACGTGTTTTTCTTAGACTATTACAATCTATTTTAATTGTTTTGCTGATTCTAAAGTCCGTAACACACTACCGCAGCGCACCTCAAGGAAGGTGCGCCGCACCATTTGAATCACTNTATAAAGTTGTTGTTTGCCGCAAAACATAAAGATATGGCGTAGTACAGTGCCATCTGCCCATTTCTGGCATGCTAAATGTTATCGTATTTTGAGTACGTGTTTTTCTTAGACTATTACAATCTATTTTAATTGTTTTGCTGATTCTAAAGTCCGTAACACACTACCGCAGCGCACCTCAAGGAAGGTGCGCCGCACCATTTGAATCACTCTCACTTGAGAGTGATTCAAATTTTAAACTTATCAAGGGACCGCGTGATAAAAAAAAACACCTACAGAACATTTATTCATTAATTACAAACGTCATTCCTTGTGACTTCCTCTCTAAAATCACTTAATTATTAACTATTTAACGAATTTACAATAGTGTTTTACTCACTACGGAATAAAATTATTTTATTTAAATAGTTCCGAAGAGATTTTGTCGGTAGCCTTTTTCCCGAAATATCTAAACAGAATGTCTAAATATGTTTTGATGACATATTTTATTAAGAGGTATTTATGATTAGTGTCATGATCAATAGATTCCGACCGAAAAATGGTGTCCGATTTTTCAGATGAGGGCTTCATAATGAATTTAAATATATATAGATAATAGGTTTGGAGAATCGACTTTCTTGAGATCCTATAAAATATGTTTTAATTATTATTTTTGTATGTTTTAAGCATGATAAAATAAGAAATTTTATATAAGCAATCATATTAAATCGATATCAAAGTCATTATATAATGTACAACCCAAAACAGACGGCCGAACTGACGTGACAATTTGGTGCGCTAAGCATGGCGGATTTTCGGCCTCATTAGACATTTACGTATATTCATGTTTCATTTTATGTATGTACGCACTGAAATACTGTTATATTGTTTTCCTGTGAGTTAAAGTGCTGAGTAAGAACGAGATAGATATATGTTTATGTGTGTGCCTTCATAATGGGTGCTATTTATATAAGCAATTGTACGTATAGAACAATATGTCGTGTCCCTACTATATAGGTCTATGGATTTATCGCATTTCCTTGTATCTATTCATAATTGACAAGAGTCGCTGCACCTTTTTGGCCAAAAATTGTACGCTATTCGCTATCTGTCACTGCTGTCATTTGTCACATGAATGGCGCAGTATGGTGTGTATTTTTAGTTGCGATTTCTCAAGACACTCACTCTGCTTCTTTGTAATGTTAATAGCAGCTGAGCACAAGTGTGACTAACAATTTTATTTTTGTTATGTATCTGCTTTGTAAGAAAATTTATCAGTACATATTCCAAATCAAAACAACTTTAACAACAAAAACAGATTAGTCTAGATCAGTGAATTCCTTAATTATCAGATTATATACATTATATGTATGTCTTAAAAGGATTGATGCCAATTGAGCAATGGTAATTCTATGATAAGACCAATAATATCGGTAATTTTTTGACGGTCATTCTTTGTTCCTTAACGCGTATCTGATAGTTTAAATCGATGTTTTAAAGATAAATCGATAACGTGATTAATTATTTTTTTAATTTTATGAATTAATAATCTAAAGTAGGGCCGGGCCATCAATAACTGTTTTAGAAAGAGGACACATTAAAGTATTTGGGTCTCACTAATCTTGAATAATGTTGAAGATAAACATTTGGAGAGATCTTGATACCTACTCCATGCTATTGAGATTAGGATATGTAGATGTTTATGTAAATAAAAATTGGAGGATCTGTTTGTGATTTCGAAATGCAAGTTTTTGAAACTTAAGTTTAAGTTATATTTGTTGTTCATAAAAAAAAATTTCGGAGCTAGTCCGCAAGTTGATTTAACCTGCACTTAAATAACGATGGTAAAGAAACTACTACATAAACCACGTTACTTGTATGATGTGTCTTTTGGAAGTGAATGACCTTGGAATTTTTTTTTCATTACTGCGATTTATTAGCTGTCTACACGTTTTCTAGATAATGCCTTATCGCATAGTTGAATTGTTTTTAACGAACTATTTACTTGCATTTTTTTAACTAGTATAGAATTGAAATTGTCGTCTATTTATTAAACATTATTTTTGTATTAGTTCCAGCTTTGGCATTGCTTTGGCTTTGCTTAGCAATGGCTTCGTTTTATTGTACATTCTCGTGAATGCTGATACCACCTTGAGATATGAGGAATATGCAATTTTATTATATGATTTTATTATATCCGATCCATCAAAACAGAATTCGCAGAGTTTGCACTAAAAATTTGCAGATCATACGTACGCCTACAAAATTACAACACACCATAACTTCAAGTAAAGTAATTGAAGACATGAGTGGTTGAAGGGGATATGATACAATTTGAAAATTCTGAGAAAACGTGTAACACACTTTTGTTACTAATTGTACCTTTTCTTCGAACATTACTCCTTCATCACATGCAATTTCTAAAATTAGCCTTTAAACCCGGAGTTTAAGGTCTAATATGGCACATAACACCTTCGTTCAATGTGAAAACTCAAAAATCTTAAAAATGGTATTTAAGTCCTTCATCCACTCATGTCTTCAATTATTGTTTACACATACCAGACATTGGCAACTGAAGACTCTAGGCCGACTGCCAATCCTTCGAACAGTTCGTGAATGGATAGCGCCAGAACTATCAGCAAGCCTCTCAGGGCTGACACCACAGAATCTTCTTGGGATGAATCGAGAACTAAATGACTATGACCGCTATTGGTTTCATTCTCAATTTGTTTGGTCTCTTGGTTTATTTCTGGATCGTTCCCCGAGATGCTCTTCCTTAGGCTGAACGGTTTGGCGTCGTTCTTCTCTGATGGTTTGTGCTCCCTGGCGTGTATGTACAAGTGAACTAATTCTTCTACTAAATACATCATGAAGAATCCTCCGCACATTATCAAACCGGCAAGGAACACTGGCACATCGGGGATCTCTCCTGTCTCTGCAAATAATAAAAATGTTTATAGAATACGTTTAAGACTGTTTATGTAAACCTTTAATACTTAGTATTCAGGTAAACCACTTTTTTGTCGCATAAATCTGTGACCAATACCGACTAATATTAAGTACACCAGCTTGGCTTTGCCCCTGGCATGGTGGGCAGCGGCTTGGCTCTGCTCCTGGCATAGCTGACGTCCACAGGCGACGGTAACCACTCACCTTTATACCTTTATACCTACCATTACCACTACTACCTATATAATTATAATATTTTTACGGCTAATTTTTTTTATTTTAAGAAGGAAATATTTCTGTTGGCTCGTAGGCCTTTTTAGTTTCACTAGGACAAATGGCGGTTTAATATCGCGTTTTCGATTTTCATCATATTCTTTCCGACGTTTCGAATTCTTTACAGTTTTAGTGGTCACGTTGTAAAAGTAGTTTTAATTACTTTTTTTACCTTTACCTTTTTATTTATCATACCATTACCTACTTACGATTATACTACTTAATACCTCGCCATATGAGCGTTTCAACCAGCTACTGTTGCTTTCGATCTAGAGCGACAGTTCTTTAAAAGGTAACGTGTTTCAGGTGCCAGTATCTTCTGATCATAAGCCAGTAAATGTCAAGAAACGTCTTCAGGTCATAGGTATTCGCGATTTTGTTAAGACTTAGTCTAGACTAAATGTTAACCGATATGAATAACCGCCTACACGATTGGTTGCAAAGTAGGAAAACTGTCTTTCATAGATTTTTGAGTTATGGTAACATCATTCCAATCCACATAACATACTTATCTTAGTATAGCTCTTATCATATTAATACGATAGTATTATGAAATGTTAAGCTACAATTAATATTAGTTGTATAAAGGTGTTCACCATTACAAGATCCTACCTCTCTAAAGAATAACATACTGTTACATACGACCACGAATCACCCACGCGTCTTTTATTTAAATATAATTGCCATAGAATTCCTTCTGACGTTTAATAAGCGTACACTTGAGTGGGAGGTCTTGTCCAGTTGTTATAGTACTTACCTGGTTCCTTCTACTTCCAACTTCATTCGGTTAGTCCTAAATAGTTTGGCCGTTTCGTTCAAAACTAAATATAATGAATTATCAATGAGGTTTTTTTTTGGTATAAAATCGGTATCATTTTTGATGAACATATGTTTGATTGGACCCATTTTAATATACATAATGAGTTATCTATAGATTTGGTTTGGGCATTCCTTACAACCAGAAAAATTGTAGGTATATTTTGGGAAATTTCGGATTGCAACAATACCTAATCTGTGCTTAGGTATGTTGTTAAGGTTTTGAATTTAGCAACAGTATTCTACAACATTGAATTACACGACGAAATTGGTTTAGAGAGCCGTCGTCTGGGTTGCTTCCTAATCATAATATGGTCCGCCTTGATATTGCTAGTACGCAGTAAATACTCAGAAATCTACGATGACGAACCATACCAATACCTCGTTACCCTAAAATCAAACAGAAAGTAGTAGGTATGTGGGCTCACGGTCTCAACCTGAGAGAATTTTCTAACACTAGCCCTAGGAAGAGCTGTGCTTCGCAGAATCTACCATCGGCTCGGGGTCGTCACACACAGAAGATCCAGCGAGAAATTTAGTGGGTTGTGTATGAGACTAAGCAAAATCAGCAATAGCAAAGTCTTAATATAGGTATATTTACAATTTGATATTAATCGGAGTGTAGGTCTACCTGGTGTCCTACTTTTATCACCTATTTTCTATTTAGAGACATCCTTAATTACCGATTCATCGCTCCGTGAACAGTTATGGAAGAGGCCCATTACATTACAGTGGACCTGTGTGAACTAATGTTAAGCAATTAACTTTACTTCAACAGTAACAGTATATTTGTAACGTGCTTTCATCGGCTGATTGAACTTTATTTCCAAGTAAAGTGTATTTATTGCATTTCCAAGGAGGTAAGACGTGACACGTAAGAAGGTTTCCGTAACTTCATAGGACGAATTATGTGATCGTATTGTTAGAGTGTACATAAAAATGGCAGAATATAAAAAAAAATATTTTTTTTATTGCTTAGATGGCTGGACGAGCTCACAGCCCACCTGGTGTTAAGTGGTTACTGGAGCCCATAGACATCTATGACGTAAATGCGCCACCCACCTTGAGATATAAGTTCTAAGGCCTCAAGTATAGTTAGAGAGGCTGCCCCACCCTTCAAACCGAAACGCATTACTGCTTCACGGCAGAAATAGGCAGGGTGGTGGTACCTACCCGCGCGGACTCACAAGAGGTCCTCCACCAGTAATTACGCAAATTATAATTTTGCGGGTTTCATTTTTATTACACGATGTTATTCCTTCACCGTGGAAGTTAATCGTGAACAGTTGAGTACGTATTTCATTAGAAAAATTGGTACCAGCCTGCGGGATTCGAACACCGGTGCATCGCTCAACACGAATGCACCGGACGTCTTATCCTTTAGGCCACGACGACTTCGACAAAATCTATCTAGTAAACATATTATTATTTACTATCAGCGCCCTTATTAAAAATCCGTAAAAAACATCACCTCAATGCATATTGCATAATGTTTAACACAAAATGAAGTGTTAGGCACCGCCAACCGGATCTCGCGTATTAAATTGACCAAGTTAGTAGGTAGGTATTTGTCCTTATTTGTGATCAGTGACAATGTTTACAAAATACATTACGAACTTAGGAGAACGGTCAACTTGACCAGTTTGAAAACGCTTTTATATTCTTCATTAAAATACGGCGGCCACGGAATACATGCAACTTATCGCAGCCTAAGTCTATTCTATTTATCATAAATAGAATATACTTATATGTATAAAATTACGATAAAATATGTTTTCCAAAATTCAAACTACATTAAAGACTAATAGTACATAGTCAGGTCATAAATTCTGTCACATGTTTAATGTAAAATAATTGAAACAAGTTTATTCATTATGTAACCATTCATATACCAAAATGAACTTAACAAAACATAGATTCTTATGACACTAAAGTTTATTCAAAATGATCTCCGTTATTTTGAATACAGGCCTTCAATCTGCGCGGTCAGTCGTCTATCGCAGCAGGAACGAGGTATGTTAATATCGGCGGCTGCCTTAATCAAGGATGTATTGAGTGACTCAAAATTGGGATGAGGCTTTAAGCACGCCTTTTCCTCCAAGTATTGCCATATCTTGTAATCTAACGGATTCAAATCTGGACTGGAGGAAGCCAGTCTTCGTGCCGGATGAAGTCGATTTCACGCGCCGCCAGCCAGTCTTGTGTTCTTCGCTCTATGAGCTGGCGCCGAATCTTGTTGGAATACCCAGTGCCTGTTATTGAACATGGTATGAGAAACAGGTTCCACAAGGTTCGTCAGGACTGTATTTTGATACACAACTGCATTCGTTTTTACACCTTTCTCACAAAAATGTACCTCTGTTAAGCCCTAATAAGAAACTCCCAACCATACCATGAGCGAGGATGGAAAATGACCTCGTTGGACACGCGGAATACGGTTGCTCGCTTCTTCACTACTGTGTGCGTACACCTTATCATTTTGTTTGTTGTAGCTCTCTTCTACGCTAATAACGGGAAAAAATAATTTCCCGTTATTTTTTTCCCGCGTACCGCTTCAACAAAGCGCGGCATCTCTTCAGTCTC